ACCTTGCTCCTGCTTAGTATTCAATTATCTAACTTGTGCACTAAGACTGAGTGTATTTTCTGTTTGTATTGTTCTTTTACTTTCATGGCCTTTAAAAGTGCAGCCCGCCTACAAGCCCTTGGTGTGGGTCGTTGGGGATACCTTCGTCCACTGGACTGGCAGGGCTGCTGCTACTTCAGCTGGGGTACTCCACCTGGCTGACTTCAATAATTCCTACACCGCTGTTGGTTGACCAAACAGACTAACCCCAGATTATATCACTATCCATGTAGGCTCCATCGATCTGGGGATTCTCCCCAAGAAAGCCGAGCTGAAGGCTATTAAGAGTGTGCCGAAAAACTGTGACACGGTGTTTGTTGCCGCATACAATTATGTTTGGTCGGCCATACTGCGGAGCGTCCACTACCCTGGGGCAAACCACCAAAACAAGGGCGAGCAAGCCCAGCTTTGTACCTTCAATTCCCTTGAACCACACAGTATTGGATATCATAAAGGGCTTAGCTAGGATCTAAAAGAGAAACTGAAGTCTTGAAGTAGAAAAAATAATGTCAGAGGCAAACAAAAACCAGCAGATCCTTGGCAACATTCCCTGTAATAATCAACAAACGAGGCATTTGACAGGGGAATTTTCAAACTTATTTTGATAAAATGGCAAACAAGAGCCAATTTATCTGAACAAAGACTATGCTTTGGGTATTGTTAGTCCCCCACCAAGAGGAAAGTAGGCAGATTTTCTTCACATTTATGTTGCACCTCACTGTGTTGAGCAAAATGCTATCCCTGCTGAAATACGAAAATTTATCAATATCCCAGATGACATCAATGAATACGATGTTTTCAGCAAACGTTGGGCTAGTCTTTATTATGTACTGTGAAAGATGATCCAGAATCGCAGTTGCTACCCGGTAAACCAGACGGCTCTCTTAGACAAGCTGATTATTCATGGGGTTATAACATGGAGATGAAACTACAATTTAAGAAACACCCAGCATGTTTCTATCAACTATTTTGTATGCCACATGGAGAAGACTGACGCCATACATGATCACGTACATTGATTACATGCGTTATGTCATTTACTCATCTACATTTCCAATGAGCAGGTTACAGGCAGAAGGTGGGGAGCAACTGAACTATGTGCATAATCAGTTTTACTTTTAAAACACAAGTATAAAGTAAACCCACAATTATCACTGCTATCGACCATGTATCAGAACTTGTCCTATAAAAACATGTGTTTGCAATCTGGAAAAGATTTAGATTGTTTACCAAGAAGCACACTGTTGCACACGGGGATTCTCCCCAAGAAAGCCACATTTGAAGCACTACTAGTGGTCACCGTGATGCAGTCTTTATTGGCCCATACCTTTATTGGCAAACAGCCAAAACAAGGTTGAGCTAATCTAATCCTATTTTGTATTCAATTATCTCATTCATCCTAAGATTGGGTGTATTTTCTTTTTGTATTGTTCTTTTACTTTCATTAGGCATTAATATGCAACCCGCCTACAGGCCCTTGGTGTGGATCGTTAGGGATTCCATCGTCCACTTAAGTGGCCGGGCTGCTGCTTCTTCAGCTGAGGCAATACTGGATAAGGTGGCTACCGTCCGTTGGCTCGGAAAGTGGGGGCTACACCTTGATGAATTCAATGACTTTCTGCATCGCTGTTGGTTGACCAAGACCATATAGTTATCCATGTAATCACAAACGATCTGGGGATTCTCCCCAAGAAAGCCATGCTGGAGGCCCTATGATATCTCCTTACGAAGCACTTCTCAAGGAACTAACATATGTCTTTCCATGTTTGCCTATGAAGGATGGAATGGTATGTCATCTGAAGGAGGGCAGGGTGTTTTTGCTTCAGCAGTTTTCATTGGGTGTGTCTTGTGTGTTGCTCATTAACAAACACACGGGGATAAATCGATGTGCACCACTGAAGAATATTCCAGTTGACATGGAGAACGCAGCAAAGGAAATTGGATAATGTTTCACATAGTGTCTGCATTGGAGACATTCATGATCAGATGACTGAGGTGAGACAACTGTCAATAGAGGGAACCATTGCACAAAACCCCTGCACCTTTAATCTCGTGTCACGTGGTCCCTAACAATGTCATTTCGACGATTTTCCTCTGATTTCCCTGAAATTCGTTTAGTAATCCTACGTTGGAAGTTGGAAACTCAGAGAAATTATCATCGATTACGGTGGGATGTCAAAAACGTGAAGAAAACCTTTGGAGAAAACTGCAACTATAGTTTCATGTCACGTGACCCTTGATGACGTCACAGTGAGGATTTTTCTCTGATACCATCCCAAGTGGGTAGACGAAATATGCACCATCAGTCCGATGGATGAGTGCCCAAGAATTTGACATAAGAAAAAAAACATGCAAAAAAAACAATAGAGAAAAACTGCACCTTTAAAACCTTGTCACATGATCTGCGATTGAATCGAGATTTCTTTCCAAAATATTATTTGATATTTTGAATTTTGGGAATATGAGGAATCAATTGAAGATGGAAAAAAAAAGTACGATTTCTTTTTTGTTTTCATAGTAATTCCCATCTGAAGTTGAGAGTCCCTCTGTCATTAAGACCAATAAAAATCCGTGTCGAAAAACGTGTACAAAACCTATGGAGAAAATTAAATATTCAAAAATCAATAACAAATAAACTGATGACGTCATCATTGTGAATTTCTTCGGGACACATCCTTGGATGGTCATCCAAGTGTCTGCCAAGTTTGAAGTTCATCGGATTAATTTAACTATCAAAGTGGCGGAAGAAAACGTGTACAAAACAAACAGGTAAAGTGGCTACAACAGAAAAATAAAGAATATAAAAAACGTAACGATTACAATAGCTGGTTCGGCTGAACGGCCGAACCAGCTAACAAATGAAAAAGTGATTCTGGAAAGACACCAGTCAAAGAAAAAGAGAAATCAAAGGAAAACAAACAAGAAAAGAGAAACAAAAGAAATGCTGGAAAGACACCAGTCAAAGAAAAAGAGAAATCAAAGGAAACAAAAGAAGAAAAGAGAAACAAAAGAAATGCTGGAAAGACACCAGTCAAAGAAAAAGAGAAATCAAAGGAAACAAAAGAAGAAAAGAGAAACAAAAGAAATGCTGGAAAGACACCAGTCAAAGAAAAAGAGAAATCAAAGGAACGAAAGTGATTTAGAACACATAAGCCTCAAAAAACAAGGCTGGTACTAATGGGTTCACTACACAGATTACATGTGCATGATCCCTTGACCCTGGCCCGGCAACTAGGTTTGAATTACACATTCATTGGTGAACACAACTGAGCCAAATGCCAGCAAGATAAAAAAAAAAAAAATTAAACTACTTCAAATGAGAACCCTGCTGAATGCAACAGATTCCAGGCATACCAAGGCCAGTTCCCTGCACAAAGCAACACGATCCAGTCCTGCAAACTGTTGCATTTAGCAGGGTAGATACTTGGTACCGAAGCCAGTGCATATGAGTTCCCTGCTAAATGAAACAGAATGCCGAAATGCAACAGAATGCACTGCGGCATTCTGTTGCATTTGGCAGGGTTCTCATTTGAGTGAGTTGCTTTCTGTTGCATTTGGCAGGGTGCTTAGAGAATACCTTGTGAGGGTTAGGGTTAATGCATGAACATTAGCAATAATATAAATATAACCAACATACAAGAATATAATATTTTCTGTATGTTACATTAAAACTTTCCCCGACTTGATGCCTTAAAAAAAAATTGAGGCTATCCAGCATGGTGTTGAAGCCATTGTAGGGTACGGGAACCCCAATCCCTAAATGGTACTGCCCAGCCAAGTGGACAGAGGGCTGACTGTGTTGGCTATGCTGGTCATTCATGGCAGTGTATGCATTGAGTGATCAGCATATCCAACATAGTTCCCCTCTGCCATCTCTTTTCAGGTATGTACTAACATTTTTATATTTTATAATGGAATATACCCTGTAGATTTAAAAATGATTTGAAACTATCCCAAAGCCTTGAGTTCTCTTGACAGTAACAATGAGTAGAGATTACCGCAAGTTTGATAACACCCTGTAATTATTGTTGGGATCTTGGCAGTCACATATATGAATATTTTTCTGTCTACTTTTGGGCTTTCTGCCAAAGTTTAGTTTCTGAACATTCTACACTTCAGTGAAGAGTCAGAGTTTTATGGGGTGTCCGCATTGATGGTCAATTCCTTTGTCAGGATTTTAGTTAGTGAATTTGTAACTTAACTTGGGACTTGTAATCCCCAATTTCTTGGTGTCTCAAAAATCTTAGAATAGTTTTTCAGATATATCTTCCACTTTTGTTTAATGTATAATCACTTAGTAACTTTATGAATGGTAGCATAGAGCATAAATGTAGATAGAAAAGTTTGTTCATTTTAATCTATAAACTTGGGTAAAGGGAATGCCTATGTACTGCACACACTGTCCCTACACAAGGTGAGGTCAGCCTAGGGCTGCCACATGGTCCTGTGTGGACATTCCACAGACAGGTGGTCACTCACTTATTTAGCTCTGGTGGTCTGTCCAGGGGTCTGTTTATTAGCAACTAGGGAGGATAGGCAGGGGGGGGGAGCTAGCCTGGTTAGAGTGTTTCATTACCACTCGATGTTAGTGTTTATGCCTTGAAGGCAAGGGCCAGGCTAAAGTCTGTTGCCATAGAGACAGCAGTGGCGGCCAAACGGATTTTAAGTTCTGCTTCTCATGGATTTGTGGCCACTCAAATTCTATGTTGTGTTTCAAGTTTACTGTACATGTATATTACTAGAGTGTCTTGTCACATTTGGAGTACTGGATGGGATTTAGCTCATTTATTGAAATTGCCGTTACTGATATTATGCCCAGTAAGATGATTTAGTAATTAGCGGATTCATGGCAGTGTATGCATTGAGTGATCAGCATATCCAACATAGTTCCCCTCTGCCATCTCTTTTCAGAATAAACAGAACCAATTCGAACCTATAGAGCGCCCTATTACACCAGCACCATGAACAACTATTACGCCAAGCAGTACAGAGGGTCAGTCAACGATCGACAACTGAACTGCATCAGAAAGCAAAAGGAGAAGGGTGGGGTGGTTGAAACGGAAGAAAAAAATGCCTCTGTGTAGAGGACAACAATCGGGTGTTGAAGCCAGCACAATGAACAGCTACTATGCCCTACTATGATCAACTACATAAGAAAGCAAAAGGAGAAGGGTGGGTTGTTTGAAGAAAAGATGCCTCTGTGTACTGGTGTAAAGGATGATTGGACAACCATTGGGTGTGGAAGCAAGCACAATGAACAGCTACTATGCTAAGCAATACAGAGTGGTAGTAAACGATCAACTAGTCAACTACAGTTACCAAAAAATCTTGGCAATTCACACAATAAACTGCACAGTAAGTGCATGTTAGGAAAACGGCTTTGGCCAGCTGGGGTTGACTCAGAGACAATCCCCCACATCGCTGTTGAACATAAGGCGCCACATCTGTGGCAGCTCCACACCTCTACAATAGAGTCATCATGAGGTGCATAAAATATGAAGATGTAGTTTCAATTGTCTCTGACACCTCCATGCTTATATCTTGTTTTACAGAAGAGAGATTACAGATCCTGCCTTACCACTCTGAAAGCTTTGTCGTGGGCAGACTTACAAGGAGTATGCAGTGACATGATCCCTCATGTCATTGCTATGAAGCAGCAGGTGAACACTAACATCAGCATGGCAGACTTCCCTGCAAACAAGGTGGACGAAAGGTTGGTTTATCTTTCATATCATTGAAACTTACACCCCGAATGAAAGACCACGAAGAACAGATTTTCATTCCAGGGGGAACTGATTGTAATGATATCTGAAAGCTTATTACTTTATTAAGTTCATATTATATTTGAGTGATTGGGCACAACTCGATCGCTGTTTTATGGTTGCAATTTATTTTTATTACATTTTTTTTTTCCAAGACAAAAATCCATGCATGTTTTTCTTAAGTTCATGATATGAACTTGTAACTTATTTCAACATATATCGGCCGATCAAATCCGGTACAAAAAAAGTGTTTTTGTTCAGTTTCTATCATTCATAACTTGATCGGCCAGGAGCCTGGCAGCTGGCCCTTAAGTCACTTAGAACTTTTGGGGCCAACATGGAGAAGAAGTAGAAAAAGGGAGCACAAGCACGCTGCAAGGTAGCCTGAAACCTCTCCCCACTGTGGCCGCACTGACACGAATGACAACCAACTGCATCGTATTTAAGTTCTTGGAAATATTTTAAAGATAATGGGAGTAGGCCTATGCGTACAGCAGGGTAATTTTGATATCCCAACAAAAGCCAGAACACGGAAACCCTACCTCAAAGACCTCTGAGACAAGTCACACCCTTTTGATTAATAAGGATTATGCAATGCCCATATTGTCTCAGAAAAATGGAAAGAGAAAATAGATTTCCTGTATTTTATTTTATGATGATAAGCCACATGAACGAATGAAAGAAATGTGTCTTGAAGCGATAATTGACATTATGCGAGGAATATATATTGACGTCATATGCCCAAAATAGATTCTACGAAGGTGGTACTGGCAAATGAATGTGTTGGTTGAGGGTCACAAAGCCCATAGATTATTTGAGAGACACAATAGTGATTTTTGTTCTATGTCGGGACGACATTCAGAAAGCAGGCAAAAATGTAATAGGTTGAATTTTGTGCCCCCCATTTTTTTTGAATTCGTAAGTCCCCCAGAGTTAGGTCATGCACTTTTTGGGGTTGTTTGGCAGCGCGTGAGGGCAGTTGGTAGCAGAACTTGCAGCCAACCACAAAAGTCCTTGAGGAGGAACTGTATAAATTCAGTGGCCAGTGAACTTTCCCTTCACTTGACCACTGAACTGCAATTAACAGAGACAGAAAGATGGCAGCACCCAGCTCCACTGTTTAACTGTCTCTGTAACCCTCCAACTGAACCTGCCATATTCATATATACATTCTGTCCTGCTCTTGGAACGAAGGGTACAAGTGCTTTATAACTGGACAGTTGAGAGCTTTTGCATTTATCAACTGACAGCTAGAGAAGAGGTATAGATAATCCTTTTGGACCCCTTTCGTCCAGTCATCTTTATCTCATTGTTTAAAGCATTGAGAGTCTTCATGTGAAGTCTTCAAGTTTCCCTCAGCACCGAGTCAAAGAATTCCGCCAAGCTAGTCTACTATTTCCGCCAAGTTAAGTCAAGTCAAGTCAAGTCCCGTCAAGTTCCGTCAAGTCAAGCAAGTTCCGTCAAGCAAGTCTACAACAACGGATCAAGATAGGCCCTTTAATCTTCCCTTTTATATGCATTTTGCCATCATGCACGCTACATAATTGGCGCCCGATGTGCGGTTTACGTTGTATTTTTCTTTCAAATTGATTGTGTGTAACCATTCCGGTACACCTTTCGACAGCTAAGTAGGGATACCCACAATGTTCTATTTTGATATTGTTTATTTTGCACGTCTGAATTGCCATTTTTTTGCATATTGATACTTGTTCTCATACATTTGATACTGATTGACCTGTTAATTTATTTTGCCATTTTCTTGCTACTGTGCTTTTATCATTTTTTATCATTGCATTGTTTCCATTTACATTGTTTCATATTGTATTGTATTTCATATTTGTATTGTATTGTCACTTTATATTGATTTCATGATGGAAGTTTCACCTTTGAGACGCTTCACTAGAAGCACTGTTCTTGTGACCAATCTTCCTATTCAAGCCACTGCAGAGCAGGTACAGAGGCATATGAGGAGGGCAGGGTTGATTCAATCCGTCAGTCGGCTGTATCATTCCAGTGGTGATAATGGTACATATTTATATTGCCATTACCGCTTCCCGGATGAAGCGCTAATGCCATTCATTTATTAGATCGTAAGCTCTTCCTCAATGGCTACCCGCGCGTGCTGCGTTCATTCAAGCAACCTCCCCTTCGTGGTACTGAACCAATCCCTCTAGCCTCCCTTCTCCCTTCTTCTGATACAATGTCATCACTACCAATCATTCATCTGCCAACACCACCTCCAGTATCGCGGTTTAATACTCCTCCGCCAGCTACTACTTTGACGCAGCAGCGACCCCCTCAAATTACAACATTCTCAAGTGCTTTCTCTGTAGTAACATCTCCAGTGTCTGTCCATGTATCACCTATGGGCGTGGCCCATACTGCCCAACATTGAATCTCAATAGAGTACTAGACCATGTCCCCCACATGTTTAATTCGGCCCATAATTCAGCTCATGTGACATTCGACTACAACCCTCCCCAATCTCAGCCACTGCACATGGCGACTCCCCAAACCCAACACCCTGTTCCTGCTTACCAACCATTGGCACCTCCTCCATTGCCAACTGGGTATGTTCAACCCCCACGAGTTTCGCTTTTTCCTGGGTGACACTCAGAAAGGTCATGGAGTTGATTTTGACAATTGGAAGTTTGAAGTCGAGTCTCTCCTTCGTGATGGGACACATTCTGAGAGGGTTCTTGCCCCATATGTCCGGCAGTCTATTCGTGGAGAACCAAGTCGGCTCATTCAAACGCTAGGCCCCAATGCCTCAATCCGTCAGCTTATCCAAGAACTCGAGGCGAGTTATGGAACTGTACAAGATGGGCCCGCTCTCCTCCAGAAAGCTTACAACAGCCATCAGGAGGTTCAGGAGTCAGCAGCTGCATTCGGTCGGCGCCTAAAACTGCTAGTGTTCGATGTTTCCCGCTGTGGCGGTCTGCCCCAGTCATCCATGGACACAGTCCTCCGCCAAATCTATTGGCGGGGACTGCGCGATCCAGACGATCCAGAGCATGTCCCTGTTTGTCCCCCACCACAGTCTGCCCCACCTCCAGCCACTCCACGACAGCCCTTTTCCGAGGCTGTGTCACAGATAAACTCCACACTGGCTGAACTGAAAGTTGCTCTGCACCCTACTGCACCACATACTGCTGCACCACCAAAAGCCTCAACCCCTGCCAATAAACCTACCATGACCCCAACTTGATTCCATCCCCAGCCTGTCGAATGTTTTCGGTGTGGAGAAAAAGGTCGTATCTCTAAAGGTTGTCGAAATCCTCCGAAAGCAAAGAATGCCAATGTCCCACAAAAACCTTTAAACGGTTCTCTGCCTCCACAGTGGGGAATGTGGCAGGCAGCACACTCAAGTCCCCAGTTGACAACATCCACCCAAACCGCATAATTGATAGATTAGTAGGTAGTGCAAATGAGGCAAACATTAATTGTGTCGGCGTATGCATTTTGCCATCATGCCCGCTACAAATTTTTCCCAAATTGACACCACATGTATAATCTTTGAACAACCACAAATGACTTTTCAAAGTTTTTATAAAAATCTTGACGTCATCAGACCGGGAGTTATCAGAAGAAGAAATTGAAAATGATCATTTTTTTAATTATTTAAATCTATCATACCAGTGTGTCTTTGTTCATCCCGCTCTTAGCCACATCTACTGTATCCTAACATATAAGTATAGTCAAACATCCCAAAGACTATATTCAAATTCTATATGTTACACTGGTAGAAGCGAGTGTTTACCCGCACATGCCGTTGAAGTGACACCTCTTCTAGTTCTACATCTCATCTGCAACTAACTTTGTCGCCTGTTCCTGCTGTTTCTGCTGTTCCTGTTGTTCCTGCTCCTATTTCTACCTGTTCCTGCTTCCAGTTTCTGCCTGTTCCAGAAGTCCTGCCTGTTCCAGTTTCCAGTTGTCCTGTTTGTTCCCGTTTTTAATGGCTCGCCAAAGTCCCCCTTTCTGCACTTCCTGAGCCGTCTCCCCGTGGCTGATTGGACCTGTTCCAGCCTCTCTGCCCAGTTCCTGTTGCCACTCCTGTTGTTCCTGTTGTTTTCAAGCCATCTCTCCATGTCTCAACCTTGTGTGTCTTTTCTTCCGAACTGTTCCTGTCTTCTAACTGTTCCTGTTTCTCAACTAGCTGTGTTCCAGTTCCTGTTCCTGTTCCTGTTCCTGTCCTCTCCGTCCTCCGTACTTCTCGTCGTCTTCCCAGCTGTGTCCAGCCAGTTCATCCAGTCCTGCAAGTGCCAATCATCCCTGTGGACAGTGCATCGCCGACGGACCAACGCTGACGGTGCCCAGCTTATTTTGTTTTGGCATATTTTTGTACCATTTTCCTTGTTTTATACCCTTTTAATTTCTGTGTTTTCTTTCATCACTCGTTTTTCACCATATATTTTGTGCACATTGCTTATATAGCCAAATATATCATTGTCATTGTTTATTGTTGCAGTCTTCATCTACGATATTCTGTCTTCTGTCTCCTACTTCTGTAATTATACAAGACCAGGTTTTAATTGAGTTCTTGGGAATAAAATAGTTTCTCCATATAGCTGAGCTCATACCAGTGTGTCTTTGTATTCTTCGTAGTCATCGTTCATCCTGCTCTTAGCCACATCTACTGTATCCTAACATGTAAGTAAAGTCAAACATCCCAAAGACTATATTCAAATTCTATATGTTACAATATCCTGTATAATTTGGACCTTTGACTTCCAAATTGCTGTGACCTAATGTCACATTTCACTAAGGTTATCTTTTTTCGCCTTAAATTTCTTTTAATGGGGTTCTTGCACAACCTGTGGGAGCCAAAAAAAAGACACCAAGCAGACTACCAAGTTTCTGGTCTTAGGGTTATTCATTTTCAAAGCATGTGAGGGGAAGATGTTTGCAACGATGAGTAAGGAAGCAGCAACAGGCCCCACTGAGATGGCAGAGAAGAGTAGTGCTACCCTCGGAGGTACCAAACCCCACCTCAAGTAATCAACACAGAGCAAGAACTTGCTGATAAGCACGCTCATTCAAGGTGCACAGCAGAGGTGAGTTTAAAGCTCACTTCGAAAAAAAAGTGTCCAGACTCGAAATCTTTGACAGCAATACACCTCGGAAAGGATATTGAAGTAATTCTAAAGAGTTGACTGGTGAATAAACGCAAGGTCTAGGCCTATACCTTCCAGCAGGCAGACTTGTTCAGCCTGAGAGCTTGCAGATGCAATCATTTCTGGACTGGATTTTTAAAGAACTTTGTGGTGCTGCCTGTCAAATATGGACTTCAAAGGACTTTGGAACACACATTTGAAAGAAAGAATAAGCATACAGACAAAGCCTAATAGTCCTTCTAGCAAAGCAATGAAAGTATTTGTATGTACTGACAACCATATTGTGGACAGCTTTATCAGTGTTTTTTCAAGACAATGTAAAGTAATTTCTGAAGTTACAATGAAAATGTAGCGGTTGTTACGTTTATAGTCTGCTGGCTCCACGAAATGCCACTTTACGATAGCAATGGTGTAACATGCATGGAGCTAACATGAAATAAGCTTCTGTTTGGAGGAACATGTTAAATGGAGTCTCAACCAACACATTCCATTTGGCTAGAAATAACAACCAAAGTCATGATGAAAGCAGCATTAGCAATGTTCCTAGCAAACATAGGAAATGGCAGATGAATGCCACTGATGTATGATAGGCCCTACATCTTTTTCCTGATCCCAGCGGGCTTAACCATGCTTGAATTTTGGTGATTCACAATGCAGTACGCCACCAAGAGTTTGCCTCAGAGAGTTAATTGCATTGTGGGAGATGGTCGACAAATTCGCAGCGTGGGACATTTGAAATTGTTCGTTTTTGCTGACAGTAGTTTTGTAAGCATGTGAAATTTGCCCTTTTATTGTCTTTTTATCAATATAGTGTTTTTTGTAAGACGGCAGAATGCTTTGCCCCAATCTATAACAAATTAGCTCAAGTTGTCTTGAGACTCTCATTCAAATGGGCCACTATTTTGTCAACTGAAACTTGAAAAATGGACACTCCATGGCAAACTATCGGTGGAGCACTGAGTTGTGAATCGCTGGAATTGTCTTGTTATTTCAAAATATCAAATGAACCACAAGGAGAAACTGACTCACATACACTTTATACAAAGTGTGGTAGATCACTGAATATTGACCCATTTTTAAAACCTGTAACTGCCAGAGTACAATAGTAGACCTCTACATACTGAGCTTTCCAGGTGTGACTTGGGTGATGTCCAGACTAGTTGATACTGCTTCTCAGAGAGTGCCATTTGGAATACACGAAACCAACGTGTGTCACCAACGTCAAAAACCTGCAAAACCGAGACAAATCACTCAAATGCATCAAATAGGACACAATGTATTCTTTATTTTAAAAGGTAGGGTGATAGTTTTATATTTGTGCATTTTCTTTGTAAGGAGCAACAAAAAAGAGCAAAATGTAAAGACGGGTGTTTAGCAACTAACCTTAGCTCTGTAATGTTGTATTTTTTCCAAAAAACAATATTCTATTGCAGTGATGTGAAAAGTAACTATAATTATTATGCATGGCGGCGAACAGCTGCGCAAGTGGGCAGCTGCGTGCGTGCGTGCGTGCACGCGCGTTGTGGTAACTTCGATAATATTATTTTGTTCTTAAAAAGAAGGGGAAGTTGGCATTTGGGTGGCAATGAGGACGGTTGGTGATGGCTGGTATCGTAGTTGGTGTTTGGTAGGGAAAGAGAACGGATGTACACTGTAGTGGGAGCTGTAATAAAGTCTGAAGATGTTTTGTTAACACAAATGAAGTGTGACCGACTGTTTTTTGTGCAAGACTGAAACTACCATTTTTCGTGAAATTTCCAGATTCGCTTGCACACGTTTGCGTGTCAAAAATTCAACATATAATTTCACGAAAAATGGACATCTGAAAAAGGCAGCACTTTCTGATTAGCCTATAAAGAGGGTGAGTATGCTTCTAAAGCAAAAATAAACTACAAACTAAGCCTAAATGTGAAAATCAACATTTGACAAAGTTCGACATGTTCGGGTACATGTTCCAAGTGAGGCCTTTATTCACGGAGGTAGTCCAGTAAATTGGCCACATTTTGGGGGCTACCTTTAACCATAATAGTTGAGCTGGTCCTGTGTACCTTTCTCACTGTCTGAATGAATGACTCACTAAATACTTGTGACTTAGTTTAAGGCTGGTGAAGAGAGGCTAGCAGTGTGCTTTACACCGCTCTAAAATACACCAGGCTTTGATAACTGGCTATAGGACATCATATGAATGGATTTAAACTCTTGCCCATTGTGAAGACTAGACGCATGAAAAGACTTCTTGTGCATGCATCCATTCCGTATCAGTTGAATACAATTTGGTGCAAACTGATCCAACTTTACTAGGCTTGCCTAGTGTTGAGTTTGAATAATAAAAGTGGGGCAAATGTTCCCTTGCTGATTGATTGCATTTGGCAGCCATCTTTAAGGTGTGTTTCGTTTTATGTTAATTCATCAACAATGAACGCACAATAAGAAGTCTACTCATGCATATTTCTATTGAACAAAAGCACACTGCAGTTAAAGCTGGCTGCAGTATAGGGCTGCCCATTTTCGGGCAATTTGGTATTTGATTACTCAAAAAGTTGGAACAAATATTCGGATATTCAAAACTGCTAGCTGCAACTGCATGCTGTGCCCGTGAAAAGTTGCAAGAAGAGTGTGCTGGTTGAAATTTGCGAGCGGCGATCGATATGGGGCACTGGAGTGTTTTGCAGCAAGTATTATATAACTGTAGTCTGCTCAAAGAATAACAATGAACCATCTCCGACAAAAACAACACATTACAGACAACAACAACAAAAATGGCACTTGACAACAAAGCGCCACAACTCTATGATAAAATAACATCACAGTCGTGTGTGTATTTGAATATTCACACAGGCAAAAAGCTACTCAAATATTCGGTCGATGATCGAATATATTTCACTTTTCTGTATATTCGGACAGCTTATTGGATCATATACGGACTAAAACATAGCTGCCAACTTTTCAAAATCCCAATTAGTAATCAACCCGCGCGGTCATTTTCAACTGCTCGTTTTATCAAAAGCTTTACCAACATCGAGTACAGGTACATGGTTTACATGTACACATGCATGTGCATACCCTTCTTGTTGTGAATAATAATGTACTGTAGGCCAAAAGATAATAATTTTTTATTTTTTTTTTAAAATTAATTTTGTTTTTATGTCTGTATTTGTTTGTTGAAGTCAAATAAATAATAACAATAATAACGTGCGCGTATTTTTTTTGAGATGCATGCTATCGATGTGGAGTTTTGAGTTCGTATCATGTTTTTACACACAATGATTTAGGGCCACCGTATGCAATAGAAATATCCCGCAAACATACCTTGCAAACGCATGCTGATTTATCTTTTCTGGACGTTGTGACAAACTCAAACTCTATTACCAATTATTCCAACCATACTCTTATTAAATTCCAGGATTAAAATCTCGCACTGATGGGTCTCATCCCGGCAATAAGCGACCAAATGTGCTCACGATCGTCACTGAAAAGTACTCACACATACAGTACACACACACAACCACACATCCACGAGATGCACACAAATGACACACCATTGACAAATATTTTTAGTACGGTCCTCAAGTACTCCACTGCGCACACTGCATTGATGTCTATCAGGTGCTTGACTGCATTCTTATTAGACTTGTCACCAGTCCATCCATTATCGCGACATTTCGCCAGAAGTTTTTGGTCAAAAACGATACTTTACAAGTATTTTTTTCCCGTTAGGTAGAAAATGGGAAATTCGTAATGTTTTAGTGGCAAATCGTATTTTCGTAATTTAACAAACAATTCGTAATAATTACGAAAAATTTGTAATAGTTGGCAGCTATGATTAGCATATACAAATAAGTAACTTTATAAAAGTGTATCAGATGTTCGGAATCTATTTACCAATTCGCAATGTCCACACTTGCTGTTAGCTTCTCAAAAACGGTGCAACAGTCTCCAGGAACTCTCGAGGCTTTTCGGAATGAACAAAGTGTCCGGCGCCCTCTACTGTTGCAATTGTTGCAGTAGGGAAAAGCTTCTTCATTGCAGGAAGGTGATCCATTCTGAAAAACAACATGAAAAAGACAACGAGGTTGACTGAGAGAATATTATGTACCAAGATTTTTATAAAAGTCTGGTTGCAAAAGGCTGTGAGGGGAAATTATGGTAATGACGTGCTAAGAAAAAGATTCATTGGTAACCTAGAAAAAGATACTTCTCCATAGGATTTCAAAATATAACTTGAACAAATTAATAATGATGGTTTTCATACCATTGCATGAGTGTTAAACTTAGTGACAGAATATTTTCACATCTTGTCTGTGTAAAACTGCTAAAGCTCCATAAAGTAACCTTGATTTCCAATATATGACAGTAATTGCTCAGAAAGTCACAACCAAATTGATATCTTTGTTCTTTTGTCAAGTGCTGACGCATCTGATAATAAGCACACTTAGCCTGTCTATGCAGGAATGTAAAATTACAAACTATAGGTTATGGAATATTAGAGCTGTATGTACCGGATATCTGAATATTCCCAAATTTTCGAATAGCTTTTTGTCGGTTTGAACAATCAAAAAGAAGAAACTATGCACGTGCGCACATGACTGAAGTGACATTTTAATCGTAGAGTTTTATTGTCAGATGCCGCTTTTTTTGTTTGCGGTAACTTTCTTGTCGACACCTTCATGCATTTCTTGGTCTCATTCTCTCAGCTGGGTCAAGACTCCGGACATTTTCACAGTTACTTTATACCGCAGAACACTCCTGCGGCCAATAATATCCATCACTGTATGCAAATTTTTACCGAAGCGTGCTTTGCAAGCAACTTTTGACCAGCAAGGAGGGCAGGTGCAGCTGGCATGTTTAAGTAATTCGTCAACTGCAGTTTACAAAAATCAAATACTAAATTATTCGAAAATAGACCCCCAACAAATATGTAATGACATTCCATGCTTAATGTGGAAGTGTACTTCCTCCAGGAATGTACTTCCTCCAGGAAGTTCACACTTTTTCTAAAATTTGTTTTGCAGCCCTTCTCAAAAATGTGACAGTGACTATAATCTTCCTCCTTTGTGAAATTAAGTTGCAAGTGGATGGACTACCTGATACGTAAAGTTGTAAATGAAATAATAGGCTTATAAATGTAGACGTACCTAATATAATTCGACCTGCTCCCCCTTATGAAGACCACTGGGCCATCATAAGTGTTATTGAATGTTGGTAGGTCAGCATGGAGATCTGGTATACCAGCCTCCAGACCATCTAGGTTCAGTCTCCATTGACATACACCGTCACGCTCGGTAACATTAGTCAAAATAAACTGCAATAGACCCACATCCTGAAAATAAAGACAGCAAGCATTCCAAGTGTGCATTAATAGTTACCAAATACTACGACTTGTATGACAATGTACACAAAATATTCACTGCTTTGAGTGATCTGGTAAAACTAACCCCCGAGGGTGATCCATGCAGAGTATTATTTTCCTGAGGCAATGCTGAGGGAAAGTAGAAAGCCTAACCCACATATACAGCTGGTTTTTAGACATGTTAAAGGGCCCATGCAATGGATTTGTTAATGCAATCCTTAACAAGTCAGGTGTGTTTACAAACACAAATGCCCCGCAACCGTGACTGTTCCCATGACATAACACCACTCTTTTAACATCAACTTACATGTACCTTGGTCACATGGAACATTCATTGACAGCATTATTGTCTTCTGTAGGTTTTATATGAATTAATCCCTAATCCCTATAATCTCAGAATAAATACAAGATTTCTATTGTTTTAGCCACTGTGAACTTGACCCTTGACCTTTTGGCCCCAAATTCAATAGGCTTCTTAGGATTACCAAGAACAATCCACAAACCAAATTTGAAGTTCATATGTTAAGTATTTCTCAAGTTATCGCGCTGACAAGATTTCTATTGTTTTAGCCACTGTGAACTTGACACTTGACCTTTTGACCCCAAATGCAATAGGCTTCTTAGGATTACCAAGAACAATCCACAAACCAAATTTGAAGTTCATATGTTAAGTATTTCTCAAGTTATCGCGCTGACAAGATTTCTATTGTTTTAGCCACTGTGAACTTGACACTTGACCTTTTGACCCCAAATGCAATAGGCTTCTTAGGATTGCCAAGAACAATCCACAAACCAAATTTGAAGTTCACATGTAAAGTATTTCTCAAGTTATCGCGCTGACAAGATTTCTATTGTTTTAGCCACTGTGAACTTGACCTTTGGCCTTTTGGCCCCAAATGCGAAAGGCTTCTTAGGATTGCCAAGAACAATCCACAAACCAAATTTGAAGTTCACATGTAAAGTATTTCTCCAGTTATCGCGCTGACAAGATTTCTATTGTTTTAGCCACTGTGAACTTGACCTTTGGCCTTTTGGCTCCAAATGCGAAAGGCTTCTTAGGATTACCAAGAACAATCCACAAACCAAATTTGAAGTTCATATGTAAAGTATTTCTCAAGTTATCGCGCTGACAAGATTTGTCCGGACACACACACCCACACACCCACCCACCCACACACACACCCACACACCCATACTTGTTTCACATGACTAGTGTGGACTTTCCATTGCTTTCGTGTAGTTAAGAAAAACCAGTGAAAAAAATCATTTTTCTCAAACTGTGAAAACTCTTTCAACCCAATTTTTTTTCTATGATTCCCTTTAGTGTTTCTCTTCATTCTGCTACAGATAAACCTAACCCCAAAATGCCTCTAAACCTGTTTTCCAGAAATGGGGAAACACTGTGTGGACGTGGGGTAAGTCCACACAACGTCGGTGCTACCTACATTATGTGGACGTCTTTTGTTCGGAAGTCCACACTGCGTATGTAAGACAAACTCACACACACACACACACACACACACACCCACACACACACACACACACACACACCCCACCCACCCACCCACCCACCCACCCACCCACCCACCCACCCACCCACCCACCCACGGAAGGACAAGGCGGAAACAGTATGCCCCTTCGGCTTCGCCGCGGGGCATAAAAATGCACCTTGGTGTCCCATATATCTCTACCGGGGTATTTTCAATTTTTGTTTTACCCTTTTTCAAGGGTATTTTTGGTGCCTTTTTGGTTTTTATGCTAATGCCAAGTTCCATATTCATGCGCAAAAGTGTGATGCATTTCAGACAGAAACCTCAATGTTACACCTGGTTTCACCAATAAAAGTTGCCAGAATTTTGGATATTTTGCTGTCGCAAAATGTTATTGTAATGATGTGTTGTGTCAGTATATGGTAGTACATGTAGGCCAATGACCAAACTTTTCTCACTAATGTTTTTAATGAACAATTTTTTTGGTTCACAAAACAGAAACACCTAAAAGATGAACCCTCAATTGACTGGAAAAGTATGGAAAATTTTGAATGTTCAAGTGCACTTTTCAATTATATTAACCAAAAAGGGGATGTAACATATCTTTCACACATGTACAATGTAAGAGTAGAAAGTTACACAGAGAGAACCTTTCAAATGAACTGTTTTACTGAAAACTATTTGGTACTGTATTTTTTTAGAAACTACATGTAGTTAAATATTTACTCCCACTACCCCTTAACTTCCTATACAAATGTACATTCTCTACCAAGTTGTCCTTGCAGTCAAACTCAATCATGACTGTTTTAACAGTTAAGAGCTCCCAGCCTAAATAAAGCAGGATTGACTGGCTGTGACTGATTATGTAACTTATACTGCTATGCTTTAACTACATGTATACATGTACTGATTATGTAACTTATACGGCTATGCTTTAACTACATGTATACATGTACTTATGTACATGTAGGTGATTGATAAGCCAGCTGTCCCAACCAATTTCATGGCTCTGCTAACCACAGAATTCTGCGCTTACAATCGCTATTCTGTACTAACCGTGCTAGCATAAAAAATTATGTGCTTACCCTCTAAGCACACAATCCTTAGTAACAGGATGAGCATGCACATAAGCCCAAATCCCTCCCTAACGCGTGAAATATGCTTACCGTAAGCACATACTTTTCTGCTACAAGTAAGCAGGGATTTTTCGCTAACTGTAAGCAGAGCGAAGAATTTGGGCCCAGTTTCCTACTTTACGGTTTAGAGGCATTTTTTGGGTTTTATTAATCCATTGCAAAATGAAGAGAAACACTAAAGGGAATCACAGAAAAAAATTTGGGTTGAGAGAGTTTTCACAGTGTGAGTAAAATGAGTTTCCATAGGTTTTTCTCAACTACACGAAAACAAAAGGATGTCCACACAAGGTATGTAATGTAAGCATGGGTGAACAGTTTCTGAGTAATCTGAATCATATATACTTTCGACTTATGTTTACTGCACCAGAGTCTTCTTACCTTAATAACTGCTTGTAGTTGTTTCCCGGCATTCTTTCTATTTTGTGCCAAGGAGACAGACTGGTCAAATTCTACTGCCTTCATTGCAGCAATGAACTCAGGAATCTGAAACGCGCTGCCGGTAGGCACTGGAGATACATCAACAACTACAAGTTTGTCTATCAGATGAGGCTGCAAATGTTACCAAAAAAAGGCACCACCAAAAATAAGCACTGCATAATTCACTTCGAAATAACTGCCAATACAAGTACATGTAGATCTACTCCACAGTTATCACATCAACGATGTTAAAAATGCACTGTCCATGTGCTATTTTGAGTTTAACCATGAAAATATCATTTGTTTTTGAATTGCTTTATATCCAAACAATACAAAAGTTATTCACTTTTGAATGAAACATCATGTGACAAAATCCCATCCATATTTAGTATTAAATGGAATACTTACTTTACAAATTAGGGAATATCTGCGTCCCAACAGTAATTCAGACGAATCTTGTACTTTGGAGGCTCAAGAGCACCCCCCAAAGAAGCTTTTTCAGATGGTTACAGCTTTATATGGTCAGTATGTACAATTTCTACACAAAGTGACTTATTTTGCTGAAACTGCTTAAAAATACTGAGTTTTTTTTGTACAATGAAAAAAAATAAGAGAATTGAATTTTCACACACACCTTACTCAATGCAGTAACCATGGCGATTCTGCCTCCCAAGCTATGACCAATCAGAATGCAGCGATCCAGCCGGAGTTCGTTCCTCATCAGCATCAGGAGGTCATCTCTCATGGCCTCCGTCCCCATCCCATCACCATGCTCACTGTTTCCATGGTTACGCACGTCAACGGTGAAAATCTAATGACATAAACAGACAGACAATTTGCTCTATATATGCTATCTACTCATATTATTGTTGGTACCAGAGGCCCACAACTGACTAACTGTCACTTGTAAGTTAGCCTGGTTGTTGGCTGGTGAAAGAGTTAATTTTATTTCATTTTTAACTACCTACATGTAAAGCAGCTTTTAAGCGGGAATAAAAAGGTGAATGGAACGAACCTGTGTTCACAGGAACAGAGTGCCCATCTCTCTTTCGAGGCGCCTGGGCCAGGCTCATATGCAGCTGTGGGGGGATCGCCACACAACCTCCACACTGAGTCTTACTCTATTACCTTCCCAGCATTGAATAACACCGGTACCCATTTAACACCTGGGTACCCATTTAACACTCGTACCCATTTAAGACCATATTTTACATGGACATAGAGCTGGATAGCATGGCTATGTTCAACAAAAAGTTTGGAGTATGAAGACCAAATGCAACTCCGTGTACATCGAATAATGCCGGTACCCATTTAACACCCGAGTACCAATTTAAACCCAGTACCCACTTAACACCATATTTTACATTGACATAGAGCTGGATACTGATATGGCTACATTCTCCAAAAAGTTTGGAGTCCGAAGACTAAATACAACTCCATATAAATCCATCGACAAAATACCGAAAACTGCCGGAAACAGATACATGTAGGATTGCTATGGTTGTTCCGAAGGGTTTATTCAGCCCCACCTGATTTGCATAGTGGGCCTAAGCTGCGAGTGAGGTTGCTGTTCCCACTCTGCACAGTACATGTGCGTGAGTGCACTGTTCGCGGCCAACTATCAAGCATTGGACTTCATCATCAATGCCTTGACCAATACTACTATATCTCAAGAAAGACAATTCGGGCAATTCACAATGCAGTGTGCCACCAAGAGTTTGCCACAAAGATTTCATTTTTCCCAGTGCATTGTGTAAGATGGTTGACAAATTGGCAGCACGGGACATTGCAAATTGGGTTTTTTTCCGGTCAGTAGTTTCGTAAGCGTATGATTCGAGTATCTGTTTGCCCTTTTAATTGATTTTATATACATGTGTTTTTTTTTGTAAGGCAGCAGAACGATGCCCAAGTCTACGACAAATTAGCTCAATTTGTCTACTGACTCTGATTCAAATGCGCCATGTTTTGTCGACCGTAAATTTGAAAAAAGGACTCTCCATGGCAAACTCCTGGTGGCGCACTGCAATTATGAATTACTCGAATTGAGGAAGTGCAGGGCTCCTCCAATTGCAACCAGCCTCAAACCACTGAAACATACTTACGGTTCTCTGTGTTTCTCTGTGAATCTTCTTAGCAAAAGTGGCCCAGTTGCTCTTTGAGCCAAATAGTCCATGGAGTATAACAACTGGAGAGTTGTCCGTGAGTGATGCAGGTCCCACAACATTGTACGCGAGTTTAACTGCTCTGAAAAGATAATGAATTGAAAATATAATGTATTGATACATTTAGTGCATTTTAACGGTTTGCAAAACATTCCTTAATCAGTAAATGCAGTTTCTGTCAGGGGGCTACGTAGGCTGTTGTCTAGCGGTCAAGACACTGTTGTTGAAAATTGGATATGCGATCCACCCGCTGAAAGAGGAAAATATTAGTACCAACAAGTGTTGGCAAGTTTCTCCAAAGTTACAGTTTCGCAAGTCAAGTACATCCACGTCAATTTTTTCCTGGCCGAGTCGAATTTTAAGTAATTTTTTTCACAGACTCAAACCAACTGAACATAATAACGTCATAACTCACATGACACATCATAACTTAATCATGTTGAATTTTTGAAGGACATTCGACATGCATTTGCCAAGTATTTTCGTAGAACCAGAAGAATTCTTGTTTATAGTACATGAGTAGTTGTTTTCCCGTCATTTTAAGATGCGAGGCAGTGTGGTACCTAATACACAATTGTGGCCAATGCCACTGATCCACATGGCATAACCAGCATTGCTACACCAGACTGCGTATAGGTCAGCACTCAACATCAGCTGGAAGAGTTACACATTGCAACCAATCAAGAGCTCTACAGACAACTACCCAAAAGCAACAACTACATGTACATGTACTATCAAGAAGAGACGGCTCCAGTTTGCAGGGCATAGCATTTGTAGAAGATCCAGCAACAAACCAGTTGCCAGCTTGATTCTCTGGCAACCCAACCAAGGGAAGCCAAACGTGGGACGACCAAAGACTACATATATTGATACACTGTGCCAAGACAACCAGCTACAACCAAGGTAAATTCATAGTTGCATGACACTTTGACAGAACGTCGATCTTGAACAGCCATCACCAATGTCTGACATGTGACAGAAGTCGCTGTCAGGGTAAGAGTAAGTACATGTAATGCACCACTTCATCAGGTTAGTTGCAAGCACCCATCTTTAGATTTTGAGCTCTTTTGTTGCTTCAAAAAATGCACTGATGACAAATAGTCTATACTCTACTTTTGGAGTAGGAACACTTAATACGACAGGGTTTTGTAACAACAAATAACTGAGGCGCAACACAGCTAAGTTAAATCATAGAGCAAGGAACACAACTACAAAATCCCTGACTGACCTTGGTGCAAGTTATATTGCTGAACTGTCAACAATCCAAGTTACTACAGAGGGATTTTGAAAAACTACTTCATAATTTGAAACCATAAAAAGCTCCTGGTCCTGATGGCATATCATACAAGTATACACTGTACATGTATGTGCCCTGTAACTCTGTCCACAAATCCAAACCAAAAAGACTTGTTAAAGAAAAAACATAAGATTCTCTAAACACTGGAAAAGTGATTTCAACTTTCCAAATAAACAATCCAGACTCTGCCTAGCCTGGCGATTGCCTCCCTGGTTCAATCACACAGAAGGGAAATACAGTCCCCAGCATAGCAGCAAGTCCCAGGCCAGCCTGAGTACTACAGTAGCTACCCTAGTGGAGCCCCAAGGCTAAATGTTAATTGGGTCTGGTATTCCTCCATGGCCCACCCAGGGACCCCATGCAGGGACTGCGCCACAAGGCCTGGCTGGGCCATCAGAGGCCTTAAAGGGAAGATACAACATTTGCAAACATCAAAAAAACAAAATGATCAAATAATCACGAAATATATTACTGGATTGTTAGGGACTGACAGTCTAAAGTATCATGTAAAATCGTAGCTACTGCCTACTGTACTGGTGTGCTGACATTTTCAAGAAAACTAGTATTTTTCCAATACTGGTCGACCGACCCGTGTTGGAGAAAACTGGCTTTTTTTTTTTAACCTGCTCCAATTTTTCAAATTAAGTTATTCCGCATTTTCTTTGCAATTGATTACACACCTGTGAAGGGGTACAAGCATTCTCGACTGATTCTATGACCTTACAATTCCCTAAAGTCTATAACTTGCTCCGTTTCAACTAAGTCAGTTGTAAGTGGGGTCAGGGAACCAGACTACAAGAAAATGGTTGGTTTTCTTGGATTTCCCAACATCTCCGAACTCAAAACGAGCAGCAAGTCAGTTTAACAACATTTGCTAACTAATCCTCCAAATCCATTTATGTCTGAAAATTGCAGAAAAAGCAAATGTTGTACATTCCCTTTAAACTCAAGAATAGAAAATCATATTCATAAAACAATATAACTATAAGACACATAACACCAAGAAAATACATTATTAACTGTGTGGAACTAGAGTTATTTGAGCAAAGTAACAATATGGTTTAAAAGAAAACTCGATAAGAAAATGTACATTGAACACTCCAGACCAACATATGGTCAATTTTGGTTCGGAGTGACCACATTTGGTACACACACTGACCATGCACTGACAAAGTTGGTTGAACAATAACTGACAAAAGAACTGTAGAAAAACAACTTCATTTAGGTTCACAAGAAAACAAGAACCAAACTTAATAACAGCATGATAACACTAGCTTGCTAAATAATTGAAATTATCAGGATCATGGCCCCCAAAAGGGAAATTTCTTACCTGAAAGGGAGAGACTGGAGAGACAGGACACAATGCATGCAACTTCGTGTGGCAGATCACTTAACTTAGCATACCAATCTGGCACACCACCAAGATCACTGCACATTCCTGTCCAAGGGTCACTCCACTTTCAGGAAAGGGGGTCTTGGACTAAAAAAACAATAGTCTTCCAGGCATGGGACTTATCAAAATAACAGTCAGGAGGGAAAAAAAAATAGAAATTGGCAGGGGTATTTTCAGGGGAAAAAACAGGGGGGAATAAACTGAAGTATGAGAAAAAAATTTAAATCACTTGTCGGAGCACCCTTAAAAAAAAATAAAAACATTTTTGCATGTGAAAGAAATGAAAAAGTTTCCTTTTATGTACAGTGAGTATACAAAAAATGCAAGTAAAATATGACAGAATGACAGAAAGAAAGTGTTTAGAACTGTGTTTACTCGCTTAAAGGGAATATACAACATTTGCAAACATCGAAAAACAAAACTACCAAGTTTTTACGAAATACCTTAATAGGATGTTGGTAAATGACAGTCTAAAGCATCCTGTAAAATTATGGCACTTGGTATGAAGTCATTTTCAAGAAAAGTGGTATTTTTGTATAAATTTCCAATGGTGGTCGGCCGACCACCGTTGGAAAAACCCAACTTTTATTCAAATACTGCTCCAAATTTACCATTTTTTCAGTCGAAATTTTGTTTGCTATTGGTTACATGTTCATGAACGGGTGCAGGCCAGCTAGACTGGTTCCCTTACCTTACAATTTTCTGGCATCTATAAATTGATCCATTTCATCTTTAGTGGAGTCGGGGAACCAGATTACTTGAACACTTTTTGGTTTTTCTTGGTTTTTCCAGCATTTTCGAACACAAAACTTCAAACATGTCAGTGCAACAATATTTGATCTATTACATAACATACTAACCCCTCAAATAGTTCATTTCTGAAAATTACAGCAAAAGCCAATAATGTTCATTCCCTTTAACACTTTTTTTTGCAGGCCAGGCAATTATCCACAAAGAAGCAATTAGGTTACCTTCATGGCCCAATGCCTAAAAATGAATACTTGGTCCCATGGTCAATTTGGCCTCTCTTGGAAAATTACTCAGATTTGTCAAAAATTATGAGATTAGACGTTTGATGTCTCATTTTAAAGTGAAGAGGTGTATATTTCAAATATTATCGCTGTCAGCTACACATTCTACGTCTGGCATTAAGTTATATTTTGTTTGCATTTTTTTGGACAAACACTTAATGTAAATTTCTTAGACGCCTCTGCAGCGATGACGAAGAGTTACGACATCATTCACAGCCATGGGATGGAAGAATTCTCTCTTCGCCGTGGCTACATGAACCTACATGTACACTCCGTGCATTCAAACGAGTGACTGCTCTCATCCGCGAAATTGCCGTACACTCTATCCAGCATTAACCCTAACCCCTGGGGCTCTTTTACTAGAATAGAAAGTATCCTGAATCCGCCAAAATCCATCAATTTTGTCATGCAAACAAATGTTGGTGGCCAGTGAGTCCATCAGAATCCACCAGTTACATGTAGGCGGGAGTAAATCTGTTGAGATCCTAAATCCGCCAGAGTCCCCCAACAGCTCAATATACATGTAGAGGTATCCTGAATCCATCAAAATCCTGCAGTTCTGCTAGGCTTACAATCCTGAATCCATCAAAATCCCCCAGTTTGTGCAATATGAAGGTATCCTGAATCTGCCGAAATCCCCGAAAACAGGGGTGCGGATTTTGATGGATTCAGGTACGTTAGGGTTATAAGACTGCATCCAGCCTGTCTTCATGTATTATCTACTAAACTTAATACCAGTTCGCAACATAATCCTAGGACATTTCAAGATGCTTCAAGAGGACCCCGCTACCCGTGAAATCTTCAGCGGGTCTTACAGACGGGACAATCAGTGACAACATAGTCCATTCAAGAGAGTTCCTGGCATACAAAGTAGTCACCACACTACAAGCACCGTCAATATTACTCGATTATTTGATACTATTTTCATATCAATATCTATTATTCGATATTATTTTATATTGATAATATCGCAATTTTTTAATGATCATATCAAAATATCAACATTTTTGATATTGAGGCATGATACCGAAAATATCGAAAAATGTGTCAGATATCGACAATTGCATGTACATGTAGGCTTAAATTAACATAAGTATAAACAAGACAAACAACACGATACGACGGATAAAATAAATGTAACACTGGTGTTATTGCATATCTTTCTACAAGCTGCTTCACATCAGAACTACATGTACCTAGAATGAGCACAGACACAATTTCTGCTGTTTTCTACATATCGTACAACTATGATACGTTCGTGCACTGTCGTGCCTGGATCCACAGGTACAGAGATAGCATGCGTGCTGAGAGTGGCTTCCTCCCCCCCCCCCCCCCCCAAATTCCACAGCCGAGCGCACTACAATATGCTGCCAGGTACCGCATCTGTGCCCTGTGCAGGGTAGGCCTATTCTATCTAGGAGATTGCATGGTATTCTACATACTGAAGTAGCTTGTAGGTCACTTTGGAGAAGTTTAGCAGAAAAGTGTCTCTCTGCGCTGGACTGTGGATGGGTTTTCAGCTTTACTTGATCCCAGACTGGTGTTTTGCAGACCAGCCTCACATTGATGCTTTTGCTTCTGGAAGGATTTCTTTATATTGTGCACCACCTGCTCTCTCACTATCTTCGCATCGGTTTCTCTGAAGGGCAAGATTACCATATGCGAAGTTCACTAATTTTCCTCTGTATTGACTAACAAGCCCCCAGATAGCAATTTCATGTCATCAAAGTCAATTTGAGCAGTGAGAAAATACAAGCATTTTCTTAAAAAACACTTAGAATTTTTCAGTCCACTCTCATAGGGTTTGTACACAGAGTGTTGAGTGAACTTCGTATATGGAAATCTTTCCCTCTGAAGCACAGGCAAGATGCCATTTGTTGAGTACAACATCACAACACAAAGGTCACACCAGTTGTGAAGTGGAGGACAGAAATGAGAACAAATGCAAATTCTGCCACGTCGTGCATATCCCAGAGGTATGAGGGATGTAGGGAGTGCATCATCCTCTTGATATTACGATTGACCCGTTCAACCCAGTTGGTTTGTACCGGTAGGTGGTAAACAGATGTGCTCCACATGCTATTTGTCCACAGCTGCCATTGTTCTGGAGACGTGCTAGAAGCCAATATTGAGCAGAGGATTCTTTGGGCTCTGTAATGGCAACTTTCATCTGGTTTGATGATTGTATGCAGTGTGTCCTGAGTGCAGCTGAGACCAATCCCGTGTGAAAGGTTCTGCTGCACATCAGGCAGACATGGTCAGCACCTGGAGATGTTGTCCCGACAACCCTGGACTTGCGGAATTTCCTTTTTTTTTCACAGCTTGGCTGGTCCATTTCTGCTCGGAAGAGGTAGCTCCTTTCCTGATGAGAATGAACCAAGTCCCCCTCTCTGCAGCAAGGCTCTCCCACGATACAGGGTTGATGCAAAAGTCTTTACCAGAGACTTTGAGACTGTCTTTGTAGCGCAACTGGCAACTGTCTTCGTAGCACTTTCACTGTCCTCTGTAAAACCTTTTCTCCTTAGCCAGTTCACTTCAGGAGGTGCTTATTTCCAATAGTGACAACACGGCTGGACCAGTACAATTGGGCTCTGCAAAAGAGTGTGGAAACTCAGAAAATCAGCATGGCAGAGAACTGCAGTGTCTGAAACCTTATCCTGCCAGCTTATTCGGCATTAATTTGTGCAGATGGTGCATGTGGAACCAATTCAGATTTCTGGCGTGTCTGCTGTAGGCAGTCCACGTCTCGCATGCCTGCGTAAAGTAGGGTGGGAAAGACAACGGCCCTGCAGACTGTCAGCTCTGTTTGGAGGTTGAGTCCTTTTCTCTCCCAAACATTCTGGCGAAGTCTGCCAAACCAGAACTGGCTTTCGCGATTCTTGCCATCGGTGCCATCCGCTCCGTTCACACGTACCCCCCTCACCGGCAAAGGAAGTACAGTTGGGGGTGACCAACCCACACCATCTTGCCTGACTGCAATTCATTTCCCGCGAAGCGCGGCCACTGCGTGTACAAAGTACAAATCCCCAGGTGTACGTGCGTCACACACAAGGAACAGTGCGCGTCAACCAGTGAAATGTCCCACCCATGGGACGTCGTTGCTAGGTAAAAGGGCGCCCTCTTTCAGTAGCGTACGGAGCTCATATTGTAAGACAATGGCATCTTCCCTGTCCCGGTAGGCTTCTGACGGCATAGCAGCAAACATCATGCTAAACAGTGTGGGGACCAGCACACAATCTTGCCCGACACCGTTGGTCACCCTAAAGGCCTCTGATGAACACCCCCCCCCCCCCCCCCCCCTGTCAGAGAACTCTGGCAAGCATCCATCTTGGAATGACTGCATCATGGCTATGAACTTGCTAGGATAGCAAAATTTTGCCATAAATCCCAGAGTCCTTGGCACACTGTGTTAAAAGCCCTGGCAATGTCTACAAAGGTTGTGTACACATTGTTGTCCTACTTTAGCGAATACCATCTCTGTGGCCGCACTGGCTTTTGGACAGCAGTCCCCTTTCAATATGTTCAAGCAAGCGGTTCAGTACATTTGTAGCTACATGGAAAGACATCGATCAGGCTCTCACAAAGTTACGCACATCACTGCCAGTGTGTCTTATTGCGCTTGAGACAGGTGTGTGCACGCGAGGTCTCAGCAGATCTACAGTTACATGTAATGCAATAATTGACACACATTAGGTGGTACCAGATCTGACACAAGTCGCACTGGATCCAGTCAACAAAATGAATGTCTGGTTTCTTGCAGATCATTGCGGCACACATCCATGCAGTGCTTCATACCGTCTTCATCAGAGGGCAGGTGAGGTTTTACCATACAGCTCCAACCACAGTGTTATGAGCTCTGGTCGGTTGTCTGGCAAAACATGGAGTGCATTCTTGCAATTGCAAAATCCGTCTGGCAAGTCAGCCTGTCAGCTAGGCCTCCCTGAACAACCAAGTGAGGGCCTGGTGGTTGGTCAAGACTGCACAGCGTTGACCCAAGTAGACATGTAGACAACTGCAAGTCTGTTATGTTCCATTGTACTGTTCTTCTAGTCCCAGAGCTTCTGCTGCTTTACCTGACAGCAGAGATGAGGGAGCATCCTCCACGATCTCGAAGTGGATTTTCCTGGTGACCCCATTGATCTGGCAGCTCAAAGTGGCAGCTCTAACAGGGTGAATGATTGTGCCATTGTACAGTATCAGCTAATAGTTTTTGATGGCACCGGAGGTGTGTCACAGAGCTGCATGTAGTCTGCAAGCTTCATGGTGCTGCAAGTTGCACCAGAGTCTAGCTGAAATCTGATGGTCTTTGTCAGATCTCTTGTTGGTGTTGCCACTGCTAGCTCAACAAAGTACTGCTGCTTGGGCTTTGACTGCACTGTATAGATGCTTTCGTCGCTGTTGCTTTCATCTCCTTCAATTTGGTGGAGCTTCTGTATACATGTGTGGATTTCTGCGGCTGACGTTTGGTGCGGTCTTTGCCCGATTATTTGCAAACCTTCACATAGTGGTTTCGTTTTTGGCACAATAGAGCAAGTTGTCCCATAGGCTGGGCACTTGCCTTTGCTGTGTGATATCTGCCACAGTACTTGCAATTGATGTTCGGAGGATTGCTGGGTTTTCAACATTTCTGTGTCCTCTGCTTGTTCTTTACAAAGTGAGCTGTTTCTGTCTCTACCAGACCCATCTGTTGTAGGTGGATCGCAGCCTGTTCACTGCTGCGGCATGTGTCGATAGCTTTCTGCAATGTCAGTGACGACTCAAGCAGCAGACGGGCACAAGTGCTGTTGCCTACTACTCCTATGACCAGCCTGTCCCTGAGCATTTCATTGAGCAGCGCTCCATTATTGCATGTTGTTGTCAACGTTCTCCAAGACTGCCGAAGATTTGGCTGGGCCTTTACGGTAACTGGCACTGGATTCAGCTAATTTCTGACACCGTGTTCTAAAGACAGCAGGAATCAAGTGTGGCATTCACTGAAAAGCGGTATATAGCCCGTAATCACATCTTACATTGGGATACGGTGGCCGCATGAAGCCCTCACATGTGTAGTGGTTAGGGTTTGTGTAAACTTGGAATCATGTTCAAAGTAAAACCATGTTGAATGTCACAATTTATCAGCAAGCTCAAATTTGTGGAAAGTGGGCAGGGTTTTGATTTATGAACGGAATTTTTAAAACCTAGGGGGTGTCAGAAAGGATGTAGTTTCAGACGCCACTTCTTTGGTTGTGCTTCTCATGTACACTTCACGCATGCATAGTAAAAATGGCTAGCTTCACGTAAAAAAGATGGCGGCCAACACTAACTCGACAATCTCGTCGTACGTATCGCACTGAAAAAACAACTTTTGAAATAATTTGAACTTTAATTAATAATATATGCTAACGCCTAGTGAGGGTGTTCTTTGTCGCTATGTAATTCAGAACAAATAATGCAACCTGATATTGATAACACTTTTTTCTTCATGTTCATGTATCATCTCAATGAAGGTCAGTCATCGCAAAAATGTTGATAAGAGTAGGGGCCTACTAAGAAACATTTCCAATTTTGTTAGGAAATACAAAATTTTCTCGACTCTCCATAGACTTTGTACACAACTGACAACTGCTGAAGTGGCGTCAGGTTGCAACATTTTTTCCTTTAATTCTACATTAGGTGTTACAAAAAAATTATACGAAATTTGTTGACGCTGGGTTGACGCTTGGTGAGTTGATGCTTTTACACATTTTTACGACCGCGAAAGTGGGGTTCTTCGCGGGTGATCAGGTGATAGTGAAGTGTAGGGCCGGTTCCTAGTATAAGCGAACAAAATCTACTTTAAATTTATTAGACCTACCAAACTAGTTGGCGACATTCTCAATAAACAGGTATGTCTTAGATAAAGGGCTGGGTTTTGATTTTTTTAGGGAAATTTGGGGGTAAGATGACGATGACAGCGCGGCAACATGACAACACGTGACCCGAAAATAAAGATGTCGATCACCGCGCGATGTACGTACCGTGAGCACGCACGGCGCGCTGAATCGCAAGGCACAAACCGTGCAGGAAAATCGTGATTTCTACCCCAAGAATCTGTTCAAAATTGATGGGCGTCATTAGAATTGAGAAAAGTCTGCTTTTGATTGTAAAGTTGATTTTTGAGCAATAAAAAATATTTTTGACTCTAATTTGATCAAAACAAAACAGGGGCCCTACACTTCACGATCGCCATTCGCGGCGTGGGCGCGTTGGACGGTCATGGCTTGCACTTTGCAATAATAATATGAATTTAACATGTTTAATAACCAGTTAATAAAATAAGCAGATATGTTGAACTTACCTTTTCTCACATGTTCTTGCACTTCTTGAGAACAGGCGTCGGCCATGGCAAAATGGTGATGGATAGTTCCATGGATTGCCAAATTTCCCTAACAACAGACATTTCATAACTCCCCCCATTTTACTACGACGACACGTGGATCAATGAGTGCTGCATGCAATGTACACCCCGGTGGTACACAGTACGATATGCATGATATGTGTGTGACGTTCCCAGGGAGTAATGTGGCAAAGCCCGATAAAGTGAATAAAATGGAATGAGGGGTTAAGATGAAAGCAAGGTTGAAATAGTACGGATTTACACTGGTTCCGCATAAAAAGTATATTCGATATCATTAAAATGGAAAGGTGGGGACCAGCAGCCAGTCAAAACAGCCCGTTTTCATCGTAACGTTCCCAAAACGTTACTATAATAGCGGTTGCTATCTAAGGACGTCGAACGAGGTTACGTTAACCTTCAACCTTCAACTTTCGTCCGCGATATCGACCGATGACACATATCGTGACGTCACAGGGGCAAGGCGGAGTTCCCGGTCGTATTTGTGAACGAGTGACAACCAAAGTTGGTCTGTGATTTCACCGAAACTACTCATTCAACAAAATACAACTTTGGACTGATCTCAATTACATTATGGCAAAAGAGTATGATCATTTATTCAAGTTGTTAATTATCGGAGACAGCGGTAAGTATGACCTGTTTGTGTAGTGACAGTGTTGTGTTTTTGCAAATTGTTCCATGATGGCAGGAAATACAAATTTGGACATGTTCATGATCATGATGTTGTAATTCAGTCATATTGATCATGTTGATGTGATGTTGTAATTTATGTAACTCATTTGTATGATAATGTGTGTTTTTGATTAAAGTCATATTATAGCATAAGGTGAAAAATTGTGCACTTGACTTTTAAGTTTTAAAAACAAAATAATCAGACACAGATCATCATGATCATGTGATGACCATGATGACTGTCATGACTGTCAATCATGACTGTATTATAGCAATGTTGATATCACTAAGAATTTTCACTATTCGATATATCGGAAATCCAATAATGAGTGATATCGAGAATATTCAATATATCAATTATCCATAAGTAAAAGTTAAAGACCAGAAAGATGACACTTGTTAAAACAAATCTGAAGTCCCACTTTTCCACGGCTTACTCAGCACTGAATCTGAGTTTGAACATGTTGAAGGAGTGGTTTTAATTCGAATCGAGTCAAGTCTTCTGATGAGGGAGTCGAGTCGAGTCATTTGCTTGCAGCAGTCACTTGAGTGGAGTCAGTTACTCGTTGGCACTCGAGTCGAGTCAAGTCGCCAAAAATTGTGACTCGAGTCGGTACAACTATGGGCTGTTAAATGTCAAACAATCATGTAGAACTGCGTACATTGCAATTTTCTGTAAAGAAAAAAAGCCACATTTTTTTTTTCAAGCAATATCATAATCCTTCCTCCGGACATCCCACAAATGTGTGGCCAATGCATGTTAGGTAGCAAACATGCCGAATGATGGCACATTTACTGTCACTTCGCATATCATTTCCTTTAATGAAAAGCAGGAAATATGCATTTTACTGTTTCTATTTTTGGTAAGTTTTGGTTTATTTAAATAACACCAAGTCAGCAGCTGACTGATATGGCTGATGACATCGGCTTACAATAAGTTTGAAATTCATTGTGTACATGTTTTAAATAAAAAGAGTTGTTTTTGATAATACAACAAAAGCCATGGATTAAATAATGTTGAAACATTGATCAAGTAGGGCCCTACTTATTTAATCAAAATTTGCTCTTAAAAATATCAGAGGATAGTTGCAATTGCATAAAAAAAATTAATAAAAAAAAACAACTTGATTATTAAAAAACTGCAAAATGTGCATTGAATGGATTAGGCAAAACAAATATTTCTGCTTCCGGATTCCCTACCTACCCTATTCTGACAGCCCCTACCCTAATTTTTTTGGGGGAAAAAATGAGAAAAAAGACCACCTAAAACCATCTACACTGTACATGTATAGTGTAGTACCGTGTAGTCTGCGTGTAGTCAAGGGTAAAAGGTAGAAACCTTTTACCCTTGACTACACGCAGATGCCTCCATATGATCGTACTCAAAAGAATGTGCCAACAAATAAAATTCCCTATCTACCGACCCTTTTTTTCGAATGCCATGTAATCGGAAGCAGAACTATTTTTTTAGCCTTATGGATGCCAGTATCAAATAAAAATCAGAGTATAAACAATTATATAGCATCAATTTTGATGGATTTGGCGCTATACAAGAATTTTATTATTATTACAATGTAAAACTGTTACATGGGTCAGAGCAGATATATCAGTACCATGAAAGGTGGCAAAACTTTAATGGTGGCAAATTACTTGTTTCATCACCATGATCACCATAAATGAAAAAAGTATGTGATAGTCTTTACTTATGAGTAGCTTTTAAAGTCATTTTAGATTTTTAAAATGATGAAAGGGGGGGGGGGGTTGCCAAAATCTCTGTGCTGGATTGGGTCCAATATATTGGACCCAATATATTGAGATTAAGCCATTTGTAGAACTCTGCAGTTTTTTTGTGAACTTAACTTCATCATTGTTCTTGTACCCCTGTACATGTATGTAATTTATCTGTTGACAATCTATATTGTTTTTTTTTCCAGGTGTTGGAAAAAGCAGCCTTTTACTTCGTTTTGCAGACAACACTTTTTCAGGTACAGTATTACCGAAGAGTGATACTGTGTATTGTGTGCAGTATCAATGTTGTAATGTAAATTTGTTGGTACAGGTATACTATGCATATAGTCCTATAGTCCGAGTATCACCCAACCCTCGATACATACTGGTATTTCATTGTGCACTTGCCGCCATAGATATTTGTGATTCATGTGACTATCGGTATTTTAGCCAACCAGGATAATAAATTATAGTTTGAGGTGTGTTGTAACACATACAGTGGTGGTTCTAGGGGGGGCTGTAAGGCCCCCAAAAATTTTGTCTAGCGCCCCCCCCAAAAAAAATTCCATGGAAAAAAAAAAAATTGGACTAGCAAAATGTCAGAATGTGACGTACATGCGAATGGTCTCCCCCTAAATAAATAGTCGTGAGAGGAGGATTTTAAAAAGTAAGTAAAAGGTACAGGGGGCGAACCTGTGTTCACAGGAATGCAGTGCCCCTCTGTCTTTCGATGCGATTGGGCCAGACTCAAGTCCATGAAATGCTGCTGTGGGAGGATCGCCATACCTCCTCCACAGCGAGTCTGTTACCTTCCCAGCATTGAATAATGCCGGTACCTATTTAACACCTGGGTTGAGAGGAGTAATTGAGGTAAAGCGCCTTACTCAAGGGCACAAAACGCATGGCCACGGTGGGGCTCAAACCCACAATCTCATCATCATGATCCTATGCTGTACTGCTAGACCATAAGGTTAATAATTTAGCAAAACACACCCAAAACTGACACTCATTTCCTTTAGTCACAGTAGTTTGCATTCAGACATGTAGTAGAGGCCCTGTAAGTTACATGCACTTTATACATTAATTCTATCAAGATAGAAAAGCAATCTCCACTAGCTTAATCCACGGTCATGATGTACACATCTGTACACCTCACACATTTTGTAAAGCCTCATTGCTGGCAACTTGCCAGTTACCCTTTTGAAGAGAGTGTATCAACTTGTCATAGACAATGTGCAACTCCCATTGGACAGGAAGCAAGCGTGTCACAATCTGTCTGTCTGGTTCATTCATTAGACACTGTAGGCTGTGAAGCTTCAGTGTACAAATGTACATTGTAGCTTTTTCCTATACCGTGTACATTGTATGCTACAAATTCTTAATCGAGCTACATGTAACTGCTGTACATGTACGAATCAGGCTCTCGTGAAATAAACTTATTTATGTTATTAGGTTTATATGTATCTATTAGGCCTACAGCCATGACTACACAGATTTACAAACTTATTCTTGTATTTTGTCTTGGATGTTGATGCTATGCATGCATTAAAAGACCCTAACCTTCCTAAATCCTCCAAAATCTGCTTTGGAGGATTTTGCAGGATTGAGGCTATGCAAAAGTGTTGCTGATTTCAGAGGATGTACTTTGTCAAGGTCTTGGGCCGGACCTTGTGTTGCTTATGCTCAGCCGTGCATAAATTTAGGCCGAGATTATACTTGCAATCCTCCGCATTGCTCCAGGATGTCACTGACACAGCCTGAACATTATAAGGACAGTGATTACTTGAGCATTTTGCAGTATTGAGGCAGTCACCCCGCCAAGGAACCAATTCAAGAAATAACGGAGGATTTTGCAGGGTTCAGACTGTATGCAGTTTTTACATGGAGGTAGTTGGAGGATTTTGCAGAAATGAAATTGCATCTTAGCAAAAATGCCTGGGGAGTTAGTTATTTAATGTTGATGAGTCCATTATTCACAATTTATAGTTGTATTTATCAATACTATGTATCTTAACTAATGTTTTCTTTAACCATTTTTAAACTCAGGAACATATATCACAACAATTGGAGTAGACTTCAAAATCCGTACGATTGATCTTAACGGAGAGAGGGTGAAACTACAGATATGGGACACAGCAGGCCAGGAAAGGTTCCGGACAATAACATCAACGTAAGTCAACATGAAGTTGCTAGTAATACAAAAACTGTGGTAATAATTCAGTTGATCAGAGTTTGACTTCACTGGTAGCCCGCTAGCTAGCCAAACGCTAGTCAAAACAGCGGCGGGCTAGTCAAACTATTCCTTAAGTAGCCCGGCTGGCGCGTCATAAATTAATGGGCTTTGGCAAAGATGAAAGGAAAGAAACAAACAAATTATTAAATTCAGAAAGCAAACCTGTAACAATATTTGTGTCTAATGTTATTTAATGTTCAGGGTTAAATTATTAGGTATGTTTATTAAAATCACCGACAACATTGCCTCAGAAAACTATTTTCAACCCCAACAGTCCAAAATCCTCCAATTTTAATATCATTATTAAATGTGTGGTTATTCTTTAACGTAAGTAAATATAGTTGATTCACAAGTACATGTATGAAGCAAGTTCTGGAATCTTGAATCATCATTCTTAATTTCAGTTCCATAGTTTTGGTTTTATTTTGTCAACAGGTATTATCGTGGTACCCATGGTGTTATAGTAGTGTATGATGTTACCAGTGCAGAGTCTTTTGTCAATGTTAAAAGATGGCTGCACGAAATTGAACAAAATTGTGATGATGTGAGCAGAATATTAGGTAAGTCACCTACTGAGAAAGGTCACGATAACCGATGCTAGCAAACTAGTACATACAATGTGCCGTACATTATGACACGCTGTGGTCCAGTGGTTATGGTGTTCAACTCGTGTGTGTCGTGGAATATGGGTTTAAATGCTGACAGGGAACATAGTGCTTGTGCTCTTGAGCAAGGCAGTAGTTTACTACGATTTCCGAGTCTCCTGTGTTGGTTTAAACTGCTTTTCAGTGCCTGTTCGGTTTCTCCAAAACGTCTTGCCGCAGTCTTCACCACCACCTATAATTCAGTAGACTATAGCGGACTGTTGTCTTAGGATTGTTTATCTTTGACCTTGACTAATTTCTCAGGCAAGGTGTTGATTGGTTTGCAGCATGTGGTGATACCATGTTTTCAACCTGATTCCTCATGACCACTTCTGTGGATGATCAATATGTCCCAGTGTTGATGCACCGCCCTCACCTTACATGGCAAATGATAGTATGAAAGCCAAGTGTAGGTACACGAATCTAGGATGATTGTGTGTGCCAGCTCCATGGCATATATTCGTATATATATGCATATTCGTATAGATTCGTATTTTTACTCCCAATGTTAACAGTATTTTTTTTTGCATGTACCACACTTTTAATTTGGCCTCAGGGCCACGACTGGTGTGAAAATTAATAAATCTAATCTAAATGAATCTAAATCTAATGGCAATCACAATGCTAGCGCAATACGGAAATTATATTTTATGTTCATTGTCATTACGTACATGTACGTAATACATGTGTGGTATTGCGATGTGAATATTTGTTAAATTGGCATCCCTGACGTTTTACTATACTACAGTCATCGTGATATTTATAACATAGCTCAAATTCATTCATTGCAGTTGGCAACAAAAACGACTGTCCAGAGAGGAAAGTGGTCTTGACGGAAGATGCAACAAATTTTGCTGAACAAATGACAATTCAGTTATTTGAGACGAGTGCGAAAGAGAACATCAACGTGGAAGAGGTAACATCAGTGGCTGTCATTTTATCATTCTTAATTTCTTGTGATTCTTTTAAATCAATTAATCAAACTTTCACTTGTGAATTAGACTGGTTACCTATTACACTTATTGACTGTCACTTGTGAATTAGACTGGCTGCCTATCTCACTGACTGACTGTCATTTGTAAATTAGACCGACTACCTATATTTCAAATAAAGGACTGGTTGTGGGCAAGAGATTCGGAATACGCTAGGAGGATTTCCTAGTAATGTATGCAAATTATATGCTAGACTGGTTCTGTGTTCCACCATTGTCCTGCGGACTTCAAATGTAAGCGCGGAACCAGCCTATTGCAAAATGGCAACAAGGCTACCACTAATGGGCAGTTTGTGTGGTGATGCATTTTGACTTTTGCTGGATTCAAAAGTGTCGCTGGTCGCTATCGAGAAAGAGAGGGGCACTGCTTTTCCGTATTTGAAACTTATGTAGTTGAAATGCTTGAAATTTGCCTTTGTGGAGAAACTATGACAAATTTGCATTCTGGTTATGGCTAGAGTCAGTGTTCTGATTGCCATGTGTTCAACTGTCATCCATGCGCTAGAACGTAAACTTCTTTTTAAAAAATAGAAATTGTACTGCATATGCGCAGAGGTGATCCAGTCAAAGGCTTTACATTAAAACTAGCTACCAGTCCCCATTATGGGAGCTGGAACCTTGACTCAACCAGTCTAGGCTACCTATGACCTTCACGATGTTGTTCTTGATATTCTACGTACAGATGTTCAACGCCATCACTGGGCTAGTACTGAAACAAAAGAAAGAGAGTGCTGCAAAGCAGTCAGCTCAAGAAAACAGCCAGACGGTCAAGCTAACTGCCAGGGGAGGCAAAAAAGGCAAAAGCGGCTGCTGCAAATGATCCAATCATTCTAGATAGTTTACTAGGCTTCTAACAGGTCCAGGCTCCAAGCAGTTCACCATATAATAGAGAGGTTTCGCATGTGAACAGATACGTATATATATACATACTTAAAACTATCTGTAATAACCTATCAGCCATTCCACCATGTACACATACATCTGGAAGCCTTACCAATGGCAGTAGTAATCCACAATGGCAGCATCCAATCGGAGTCTTGGTTTCAAGCATGCAGATATATTTAGCAATCAGTCCTCATTGGATCAAATTGCACATGATTCAATTAAAAAGGAGAATGTGAAAATCGACAATTGACATGATACACACTGATGTGTAGCGAGTACATATATCCATGCCGTGTTGATATGCAATATACATGTATATGTCGTGCCACAGCTGATAGGCCTATTGTGAATGTATCAAGACATCGTATGCGATTGGCTACGTGATACACACTGATGCATAGCCAGCAATGTATGTACATGTATCCGTATCCTGTTCATGCGCACCTGATAGGCCAATCATGTCTGATATCGCGTATGATGTCACAAGACCACACAAACTGCTATAAGTTATCATGCGAAGCCTCTCTAATGTCTTTCTGGTCTACCACATCCACACTCGTCCAAAAATTCAGTCAACTCAGGGCTGATATTTTCAATCGAGTGTTGAGTTGTTTCCAAGGCTAACTTTGTATGTATTTTATTTTGATAAAAAATCTTAAACCATCAAACAAAAAAGGTAATGTAATTTGGACTGCTGTACTTCACTCTGCTTATAGCCTTTGCTTTTTACTGTACACATTTTGTAAATATTGAGGAATGTGTAAAGGCTGGTTTGCAGTCGATCACACAAGTGAAACAAATTATTATAGTTATTACTCATTTCCAGTAATGAAACCAAGGATTCCTCAAAAGCGCCCAAGGCACTGCAGCTTGCAAGCCAGAATAAACCTGTGGAGAAAAGACAATGAGAAGAAATTACAGTTTAAGAGGTGGGAGGAAAAGCCCAGGGGAATATTCTGGGGAAAACCCACTGAATCAGGTAGGGACTGAAAACCGAATCCACATTGGCTCAGGCAGGATTCGAACCCGGGTCACAGCGGTGGAAGGCGAGGAAAGTATGGCTACGCCAACCCAACCTGAACATTGATTATGTTCACAGTTTATAGTTGTCATTGAAGTGCTGGCTTCTGGTCCTGAAGGAAAAATTGAACTTTGACACTGTCACTGACCCAGCTTTTAACATCGAACCGGTATAAGTGCTGGTTCGGAAAAGAACAATGAATGTAAAAATGTCATAGAAATAATAATAATAATAAAACGGTTCTTATATAGCGCATTACACAATGTCTCAATGCGCTTTATTATTATTATAGAAACAAACAAAATGGACGACATTGATTTCAACATCACATGGCTGACTATACACATGACTGACTCTGTATAAAGTATGCCAAAAAAGTGCAACATTCAGAAAACAAATACATGTACATGTGCATGAAATTAAAAAACTGTTTGATGATTTTTTTTTCAATGAAATTACATATTACATTAAAGCCTGACTATTTCTCAATCCACTTGTTTTTACCCCATTCCATTTGGGTCCCTTGATCCAGAAATACAATCAATTAAAGTGAAAAGGGTGTGAACTTTACTTGGGTCACTCTCACCTGGACATGCTGAATCAGGGTCAAACATTGAATAGGCATTGAAGTTGGTAACATCACAGGTGACAGTGGCCCAAGTAAAATTTACACCCTTTCACTTAACTGATCTAGGTACCTATATGGAATGGGGTAAAAAGGATTAGACTGAAAAATCGTCATCAGCACCACAAACTGATACTCAGTTGTGGGCGAGTGCACTGCACCGGCTTATTTTGAGTTTCACAAACTGACATCCTCCACAGTGCAGAACTTCCAGAGTGCACCCCATACAATTTAGGATTCATGAACTGACACTGACCTTAATTTCAAAAAATTAAAACAACGTTTTTTATTTACCGTTTTACCGATGCTTTAAATTCCTGTAAAATCTTTCAAACCATTTTCTCCATTCTGTATTGCTGTATCATGCTTCAGTGTCGGTTTGTGAAAAAGAAAATCTTTTTATTTCGCGCCAGTGCCGATGTTTGGTGCACTACCGGATGTTAGTTCGTGAAATCGAAACTTTTGATTACATGGTTTTCACGAACTGACACCCACTTGCGTGCGAGTGTCAGTTTGTGGTGCCGATGACGAAATATTCAGGCTTTAATGTAGTACAGTGGAGCGTCGCTATAACGAACATTGTGGGATCCACAGAAATTGTTCGTAATAACGATCATTCATTATAGCGATTTTCACACATTAGTGGCAACCTCTTTAACTCGATTGTTATTGTGTAGTTGCAGTTACAAACCACCCGCGGAGTCGCCAAACTTGTCCATTAATATTTTCAATTCTGTAGCAGAATTTCATCAAGTACGCCGTGGTAGTTACTAGAAGACGACTTCAAACGCGTGCGACTGTAGAATCATGTAATTACACAGTTTTTAATAATAGCCATTTGTCGCTCTTCTGTTGACATTTCCAACAACAATGTTCGGTACGTTTTGTACACAAAAATTGGGAGCCAAGGCTGATGTTCGGTATGGCCCAATGTTCGGTATAGCAGTGTTCGGTATAGCGACGTTCCACTGTATATACTTTCATTGAAGAAAAAACAACTGACAGTTTAACTGTTTGTTTTCTGAATGTTGTACTGAATGCTGTAGATTGAGTCACAAGCTGCACCTATATTTACATCACTGGTGAACATGCATCCTACATAAATACAGCATAGAAGGTTATAATAGTGTTGTGCATCGCGGGTCAGGTTAACCAGGTCAAACCGACCGGAAACAATATAGATATATATATACCAAGTCCAAACTGAAACCCATCTGAAATCCCTAAAACTGACCCAACAATAATTCAAGGAAAAAATCCAGATACATCCCCATGGGCATAATTTTGCACAATTGCCCTTGGTATACTATCATGGTTACAGTCTCCTAATGACAAATTTACCTTCAACATTTGCGTTCTTTTATAAAATGTGTTACTTTTTGTGAATTATTTCAACATTCCTTTTTACAGTGACAATTTCTATACATGTACATATTTTTTAATCAATAAGCTTGACTTTATCAGGAAAAAAACATCTCATGACTATATTAAGAAGTTAAAACAAAATGGGAAAATTGATATTTAGCCGTTCTCTGAATGAACAAGTACCCTTTTTGGGGGGGGCTATAGCTTTTGTTGTCCACCAAATCTGCAAAAACAATAACAAATATTTCCTGTTGCCAATGACACCTGTTTTTTTATTATTGGTAATGGCAGTATGAAAGATACCTGCAGAAAACGGGAGCTTCATCTGGGAACACAAGGCCTCCAGAAAAGTGTGAAATTGGGTAGATAATTGCTAGACTTTCACCACTGGGCACAATCTGGTACAATCTGAAATGTATGGAGAAAAATAGAACATTTTAATCAAATCAAAAGTCCTATGACAATTTGTTGAATGAGGTGCTATTAAATCAATCAACAAATTATTGGATGAATGTACATGAACCTTTATTCCCTTACAATTACAGAAAAATGGCGTGCAGAAAGCTTGCATTATGTAAGGTTGCCACAAGCTTGTTGCAATCTTAACAAGCTTGAATTGGTTTAGTTTTGTTACTTCCACTAATTAAGTACAAGCCTACTGTTTGGGTATCAGCAAGCATGAGCTTACCAGGTTTTCTGTTTGGGATCATTCACCACAGTACAGTGTGAAGTGTGCTGCAGAACACATTGTGCGCTAAGACAGTAAAAGAGTTAAAAGTTGTACCCAATTTAACATCACAACCATTCTTCGGAAAAGAATTTTAAAAAACTGGACATCATATGTGACAATGCATTTGTACGCTGTTTAAACTGATTGGAGTGGCCACAAGAAAGATTGAAGTTTTATTGTTTAATTGGCATTTTGTTATATTTGGTAATATTTGGCGAAAGTCACTGTTATAACAATTTTATGTTTATATCATCATGGAATAAGAATACATCTAAATGTCTTACATGACAAATCGGCTTTGTAATTTTGCTTATGAATATTAAACGTGTACATAATGAATGTAAACATACAAAGTACCATTTGAATGCATATTGTATTTAAAATAAGATGCATGAGGTTTGTCTGGAAGGTTGCGATGCTTTGTATTTTAATCTGTGAAGTTTTACCTGACAGTTGTAGTTGTCATAGGCGGTACGTATGTTGACTCGACCATTGTGTGTGTTTTGGATCTTGGCTTTGCCTTCAGACCAAGGTATTATATAACTTGCACAGGGTTCAACACATGTACCACAGCACATGATGATGGTGTAAATCAAGGATTTTCTATCGTTCCACTTCCCTTTTCCTTTGTTTATTCTCTATTTTAACTTTTTTTTGCAACAGCTCTCATTGGTTTTGTACAAGTTTTCTAACCGAGAGGTCCTCGATTTGGTTCCTGACCTCAAATCATTGATGATGTTGCACGCATGTGTCCTCAATTTACACCATAAACAAATGCCACCATTAACAAATGCCTTCTGTTACGTCTGTAGGACTGCTTATTGAATTAAAGGTTTAAAGAAATCAATGTCTATTACATTGCAAGTACATGTATATCAGTTGAGTACATGTACTCTTATTTTCCCACTTAGTTCGGCTTTTTCACACTGTCTAAAAATATTAGACCTGGGTTGAACCCCAAAAGTTTGCGGTTTTCCCCTTTCACACTACCAAGAATCCCATGGTTTTAACATGGGTCCGGTGCACTGCACAGGTAATTATTTCAGCCCTGGTCAAGACCAGGGTTGCGAGGCTTTACCCGGAAACGAGCAAAACTCCAGTCAACCCATGTTCAGTTTGGTGTAAATGGTTTGCCTATCTGTGTTCAATCCAACCAGAGTCCGCCATTTCAGATAGACATGACTTCAGTGTAAAAAAACACAAGTTTAATCTAGAGACACTGAAGGTTAGGTGGCACAATGAAAGTTTTAAGAATTTTAATCTTAGTTTTATGTTGTTTATTAGCTTCACAAAGAATGTGTGAATGTAAGCGATGACATGAGTCGCAATTACCTGGTACCTGCATTTTAAAAAAATTGTTTGGGTGGTTTTACTCTAGGGATTTTCACTATTTATTTCATTTGAGATTGTTATAAATTTTACTGCTTGAGCTTCCATTATATTTTGTAAGTTGCATTTTTGTTTTATAAATTTGGCTCCCACTAGATATTTTTTGGTGTGTTTAAGCTAAACTTTACTTCACTACTTGTCACATAGCGGACACAATTCCAGTTCACCACATAAGATCAAGTCTTAATGGTTTCACTGTTGACTGCGTGCACATTGCAAGTACCCCCTCAACGGATGTTGATACATGTACTTGGTACTTGGTAATCTCCTAAGGACTCCGCAGGGGAGTTTTAACAGGATCAAGGCCAGAAACACCGGGGCAAACCCCTTCTCTTAGCGATTAGTGTTACTGGGTTCTTTTACGTGCATTGCAGTACACAACACACGGGACCTACAGCTTTACGTCCCATCCGAAGGACGAAGCAATAATGGTTAAGTGCCTTGCTTAAGGGCACAAGTGTCTAGACCCGGGCTCGAACCCACGCCACTGAAACACCAGAGCATGAGTCCAGTTCTCTTAACCGCTAGGCATATATGACACTTGGCACTGTTACTGCATAAATGCAGTGAAAAAGTTGCACTGTACAAGTGTCTTGTACTAGAGGACATACATGTTTGTATATGAGACCAGTAATTCCATTAAATCTGCACGAACTTTAGTGAATGGTCCAAGATAAATTACCACCAAAACATTAATTGTTGATATTATAAAGCAGTGGTATCTGTAATAAAGATGAATGTGTACCATTTTTATACACAAAGTTTCCTGCTTGAATTTTTGTAATCATTTCTTAATACTGGTTAAATGTATGTCTATATGATCGTCAATTTACACCTTGAACAGATTGTTAAAATCAGAAACAATCTCACAAGAAACTTGATGGTCTACAAAAACTTGTGGACAAATGCATGGCTGTTTCAGCATTTTATTATTGTATTTTTATGTCATGCTATAACTGATAATGCATGCATGTACAGTACAAAATTGCGGAGCGATCAGGACAAATAGTTGTACAGATATAGGCCATAGAAAAATGCACATTTAATGTGACGTCGCATGTCATTTGATGACGTCATGATGATGTCATAACGGACGTCACTTCAATTTTCATGTATCACATCTCAGCTTAGGTACATATCAAGTTCCAA